AACAAATATCGTAACATACAGTGGAATTAAATGAAAATCATAATCAAATAGAATATCGAGATTTATGTAAAAAATCCTTCTAACGTGAAGAGTAAAAATCACAAAGTAAGTGAAAAAAAATCGATATAATTAAATGGACTGTCAGCCTAATAATAAATATAAATATATATAAGATAAAAATTTATGTATATGGAACTCTCTCCACGTCCTACAAATGACAAAAGCATGATTGCAATGCATAAGAAAGCAATCATCTTTGATCCTACTCCCAACTATTCTCCTTTTGTCTTCCCTGTCTTCTCCTTCCCCCTACTTATTCCTTCGTTTGATAGCTATCAGAGGATTACTTCTGTCCACTTACCGTGACTTGTTGCCCATAAACCATGTGGTCTCCTCTTTCCTTCCTCGAGGAATGCCATTGCATGAGTCAACCTTCAAAACGAACAAAGAGTGCTTTGTGTTTTGCTTACTACTGCCTTTGTCAGATAGATACCTTCATCTGTGTGCATGTATTATATGTCACTACAAAACAAATTAGCATGTGTGCTTCTTATGGATGGAAGATGTCATAGTGTACCCGAACACTTGAATTATTGGTACATATGCGAGTGTGATTAAGTCACTTGTTAGGTTTGCTTTGCTTTGCTTTGGATTGTCTGTCACTGAAAACAATGTAGCATATGGATTTACTTGATATGTCATGGCCTCATGGGAGGGGTTATCATTGTCCCGTCTAAATATTTTAGTGATCGTATCAAGAATAGAAATTGATAAATATTATCTCATCTAGAGGTTAAAGATTTTAGGATTAAAAAATTTAAAATAAATAATTCTCATTTATAAGCTCGGACTTATCGATGACACGTAATAACATGATAATTTTTATATATAAAATATTGATTTGATGATGATGTATCAACAATACTTATCAAAGGACGAGGATCAAAGTTTTTATCCTTACAAATTTTGTAGACATTAAATAACCGATAAGAACATTGAATATTGATAGTAAGTTTTTGGATCGAATCTCATGTTAATTATTTATTCACTGAAAAAAATCATGATATAAGAGATAATGTTAATTATTAATCATAAATAAAATATTATTTTCACTTTAATAAAATGACACGGATCAATAATATAAGAGATGATGTTGGCTTACATGATTTCATTACCTAAACATGACAAATTAGATGGGATCACAATTAGAATCTTGTTAGCCTTATAAAAGCTTTCAAAATAATAATAATAATAATAATAATAATAGTAATAATAATAATAATAATAATAATGTGGGAGGATAACATTTGAACTCATAAAGTTTGCAAGCAAAAGAGTAAATTGTTTGTATGGAGCTAATTTAATGCTTAAGCAAAAGAGAATAACATGTTGAATTCCATGTGACCTCTCTTGATTGGCTACATTTTGACCTTCCCATGAAACATGAATGTCACATCAAGATAATGCATCAATATGATTTATATAGTTTGTTGGATATACGTAAGAATTAGGAGTCAACAAATTGATTTTGTTAGCCTCTTTGGGATTAAGTCTCTCTCTCTCTCTTTTGTCGTGCTGAGGAAGTTCTTATGTTCGAGTTCATGTAATAATATCTTATACGTAGTTTAATATAAAAAAATAAAATATTAAATATTAAAAATAAAATGAAAACAAATAAGATAAAAAAATTTTATGTAAGTAGTTGAGTTTATTTATAACAATAACAAAATCATAAGGTCCTAACAAAATAACCTAATTTATTTAAATTAATCAAAGATAAAATTAATTTGACAGAAAAATAGATGTTCAAGTTGAGTTTAGGTTTTGGTATTTAAATAATCATTTTAATTTGAATTCAGTTAAGAAATTTAAATCTTCAATTTTGGTATTTAAATCATATTTAAATTTTATTTTTTATTTGGTATATCCAACCCCTTAGTAAATTAAATTCAGAAATTAGCTAATTAGTCAGATTTTTATAAATAAATATGAAAAAATTCATAGATATCTTCGGCTACCTTTTTTTTTTTTTTGTTAACTTCATTGTCAAATATCCTTAAAATCTGTTTGTTTGGAAGTGAATTATGAACCATAAATTACTTAAAATGTTGCCACATATGACTATCTCAATACTAACATGCACATAAATCACTTACAATTCTACTTGGATTAAGAGAATCTCATAAATTACTTGGGCTTTAGGATATCCCTTTCATACTCATGATAAATAATGTCATTATATTATATGATTGGATATAGCTTTTAGGTATTTTCTTGGGATATGTTAAAAATGAGCATTCTATACTATGTATTTGCATATATCTTTTATATGTACAGATCTTACCTATATATATACAAGATAAGATCGAAGACTAAACAACTCAATATTTCTATTGTTTGTTGTTGGATCCATAGGATTGGATTAATTATGGATCCTTGGGATTGGTGGACTTTTTAATATCTCCTAGTTTCAGGCCATAGATCAAGCCAAGGGAAAGGCTCCTTTACCCATCCTATTTATATACTTCCATATCATGATAATATAGTAAAATTCTCAAGGAAAAAAAAAATTACTGCTCCATAATTCAAGATAAAAAGAAAAGATAATAAAGTTTTGAATCAATAATATTGTTAATGATAATCACTAGGGAGCAAACTAATTATTTTATAAAAATAAATAAATAAAATTTATCACATACTTGAGCATCCTAATCAATGAAAAAAAAGATAAAATCAAGCCAACAAATATGCTACATCAACTCCTATATTCCAACTGAAGAGAAAGATCACTTACAGTTATTACAGTTATGAAAGATGATAATAAAAGACAAACAAGAGTACGATAAATAAGATTTGGCTTTTCTCTTTTTTAAATATGTAACATAAAACTCTTTAACTTCAACATAAGAGAGGGATCACATTATGAATATCTCTCAACATCAAGACTAATGCAAGTCAAAAATTTTAATGTAAATTAAATCAAAACCAAATTAGACTGATAAATCCTAGCCGGCCACCATCGTCATACCTTATTAACATCCCTGCCCTCAAAAAAAGGTTGTAATGATAGGGACAATACAAATTTTTCCTCAAAATTAATTAAAATAAACTACTTGGTGCTGATATTGCAATGAGCTTAGTGTCTTTAAATACTTAAACTTCACTTAATAAGATGGTTTCATGTAAAGAATATTCTTTTGATCTATATTTCAACTATCATATATATAATATTGATATCTACATTCGTTATTCGTTATGGATCGTACAGTATATCTTGATTATTCATGAGAGTTTCTAGAGATTACCTAGATCTCTAATCGTGATTATATATAATCACTTTCATATAAGAGAGTCTCTATCTATCAAGGATGTGTATAGAGTCGTATCTCATGAAAAACATCGTTTCATATCTCTTTTAGGGATATATGCTTCATATACCTTTACATAGAAGTAATAAACAATCATCATAAAATTAATGGTTAGAGTTAAGCTCTATTTATGTATTAATATATTTTTTACTCTTTATTTTTTAATATGCTCCTTGGCCTGGGGTTCTAACTAGGTTAACCTATCCCCTTAATGATATTAAGATTATAGTTATCTTATTTGTGTCTTTGTTAAAACTATCATGACATATTATATAGTCATATAATTTTTTTAATTTATAAATTATATAATTTATTTTATGTTTGACATGAATCATGTGAACAAATAATTGTAATACATAACAATGTCATCAAGAAGCATGCCAAAATATTTACAAATTATCACACTGAAAAGATGATAAGTAATTACATATAATAAATAAATTCATAAATATAAACATGATATTGTTAGCACTACATTTCTTAAGAAATTTGAAATGTTCCCACATTTGTAAGAAAATTTAGCAGTAACATATTGTAAGATATACTTTACTAATATGCATAACATTATTTTATATATGCATCACATAATATTTTATTATAAATATTTTCCATAAAAGTATATTGTAACATTAATAACATTACAATATTGTTTCTATGTACCATAGACTTCCACATTTCAAATTATTATTTGCAGATTAAGCTTTATTTATTTCTAAATATTAGACAATCTTTATAAGTTTAGCCATCCATATACATGTGTATACTGCTTACTTATATTAAATGCATAAGAAATGAAATGAATCTAGTAACTTATTCAAGCAAAACAAAAAAATATACATGTAGCTTTTGATTTAAGATTCATTATAAGTTATAGTAACTCATGTAAGGCTATTCATCTTATAAAGGAATAGTGTTTCAATTGTACATTTTAAATTTAGTTTACTACTAGAAGCTTCCAAATATAAACAAATGTATAGTGCATTATAATTAAATTTCATGATCTTTATTTTGCACCTATAATAAGAAATCTTTACAAAGAAGAAACAATAATCATGCTTGGAAGTGATTAAAAAATAATGAGAATGCTCACACTTTATCATAATATAAAATATTGAGTCATGTCTAAGAAAACTAAAAACATGATTCAATATGTCAATATCAACCATGATGCATTTTAGTGTCATCATCAACTACCTAAAAGCTATGTGCATGACACAATCATGAATTTTACGAGTTCACTGCTAATGTAATTCTATAGGGGTAAAACTATCGTATCATATCTAACTAACGATCTACGATTCCTCCTTTAGATTATATGAACTCCAAATTAGATTATCTCAAAATCTTTTGATCTAACATCATTTTATCCTAAAATGAACACAGAATAAGATTGGATTTGTCTTTTTCTGTTGGTCATGAGAGAAGTTTGAAGTCAATGAGATGAAATCTGCCTCCAAAACATCACCGTACTGTTCGGATTTAACGGCGATGAAATCTTTCTTGCTATATCAGTAGCCAACCATACAATAATAATACAATGTCTCTGGCAGCCTTCTTCCATGGGCCCCACCCTTCTCCTTTCGTTTCAGTATATACTCCCCTCCCTCTCTCTCTCTCTCTCCCTCTCGCGACAGCCAAACCAATCAACGAGAGAGAGAGGGAGAGAGAGGAAAAAGGCCAATGAGGTTCTCTTCCCTGTCCTTGCTCGCTCGCTCCTCGGGCTCTTCCTCTTCCTCCTCTCGGATATGCTTGCTGCTGCTGGTGGCGGGCTTAGCAGCGGTAGCGGCGGCTTCTTACTCGCCAGCGGAGCAGCAGGAACAGGACAGGGTGGCCCGCCTCCCCGGCCAGCCCCGCGTTGACTTCGCCCAGTACTCCGGCTACGTCACCGTCGAAGCCCGCGCCGGCCGCGCTCTCTTCTACTGGCTCGTGGAGGCGCCGCCTTCCGCTCAGCCCGCGCCCCTCGTCCTCTGGCTCAACGGCGGCCCCGGTTGCTCCTCCATCGCCTACGGCGCATCCGAGGAACTCGGCCCCTTCCGGATCGATTCCGACGGGAAGACCCTCTACCTGAATCCCTACGCTTGGAACACCGGTGGCTTCTCCCTCAAAGATTCGACTTTTATGCATCTTCGTGGTGTGTGTGCTCGTAAAAATCCTTCCTTTACCAACTTTTCCGATTGAATTTGGTGTCGGCAGTGGCGAACGTGCTGTTCTTGGACTCGCCTGCAGGCGTTGGCTTCTCGTACACTAATACTTCCTCTGATCTCCACACTTCTGGAGACCACAGAACAGGTTAGATTACTAGTTTTCTGTAAGAAAAAATTTTCGGTTTCAAATAATTCTTCTTCTTCTTCTTCTTCTTTCTTCTTCTAGCTGTGGATGCATATAATTTCCTGGTGAAATGGTTCGAGAGGTTTCCTCAGTATAAACATCGCGAATTCTACATAGCTGGAGAGAGCTATGCAGGTCTCATAAGATTAATCACCGGCTTAATTCTTCTGTCATATATTCTTAGTCTCGAATCAATTCATTCACACCCGAATTTGATTCATCCCTTTCGACACAGGGCATTATGTTCCTCAGCTGTCCCAGCTTGTGTACAGAAAGAACGCCGGCGTTGAGAATGCGACCATTAATTTCCGGGGATTCCTGGTAAGTTGTGCAACCTTTCTGCAATCAAATTCCTTATCAGTTCGAATTCTGTATCAATCCCTCTTTAGTTCGCATTCTTCTTTATTGGCTCGTTCAACACTAAATCGACTAACGCAAAAGCTCATAAACATACAAGGATTGATGTGTGAATTCTACTCTAAGACAGGTAGGCAATGCAGTGACCGATGATTACCACGATTATGTTGGAACCTTCGAGTACTGGTGGACTCATGGCCTCATCTCGGATGCCACCTACCGAATTCTGAGGGTCCGCTGCGACTACCAAGCCTCCGAACACCCTTCAGATGCATGCGTAAACGCCCTCGACACCGCAGATTCAGAGATGGGGAACATCGACCCTTACAGCATCTACACGCTTCCTTGCAACGATCATCCCCGATCTCTCAAGCGCAATCTAAGGGGTCATTATGTGAGCAATCCGCTCCCGAGTAAACCGCAAATTTGACATCGATTGAATTCCCCGTGTTTCATCTTATGCTTCTTGTAATTTTGTCTTCCCAACTCAGCCTTGGATGTCCAGAGCTTACGATCCCTGCACAGAAAGGTATTCCAGGATTTACTACAACCGTGCCGATGTCCAAAGAGCGATGCATGCCAACGTTACTGGAATACCATACGGTTGGGATACATGCAGGTTTGTGTTGGACTGACTGTAAATTTACGTGAAAGTTGAGATTCCACTGATCGTTCACCTGAAACGCATGACAGCGATACTATTAGTGAGAACTGGGGAGATTCACCCAAGTCCATGCTTCCTATTTACCGTGAACTCATTGCAGCCGGCCTAAGGATATGGGTTTTCAGGTACATTTGAGGAACTGTCTTTTTTTTCTCCCTTATTTTAAATACATGATATCTGAAAACTAAAATCCATTGGTTTTTTACATGATGAAATCTATCACATATGATGAACTTTCACTATAAAGGAAACATGGACTTCTTCTTCATTCATCAAACTGCCTGAAGCAAAAGTAGATATTAAATTTCACTGGAAAATGCTTCCGCAAATGAGATTGAATCAGATGCATGTCACTGAATTGTTCGATTCTGTTCAACCTGTGAAGGATGCCAGCTTCAGATCAACAGATGAACTAATTCTATTTCAGTTTCTAGAGACTGCTTCACAACCTCTATAAACAACACATTTGTTTTGATTTGATGATAGAATTTTTGCTAATGTTCATCCTCTGATATCTATGGCTGTGCTGCACTTTTCGACAGTGGTGATACAGATGCTGTAGTCCCCTTAACTGCAACAAGATACTCGATTGATGCTCTCAGATTAAGAACCCTCGAGAAGTGGTACCCATGGTATGACCATGGAAAGGTCAGTCACAAGAATCCTCTCTCTGATGCTACTACTTGTTCACGTTCATGATGAAGCTTATCGGAGAACATTTCGGTGTCTTTTCGTGTTCGATACATCCATTAGGTTGGCGGATGGAGTCAAATCTACAAAGGCCTAACCTATGTGACTGTTACGGGAGCCGGACATGAGGTCCCTCTTCATCGTCCCCGACAAGCTCTGATGCTCTTCGAGCATTTCTTGAAGAACAAGCCCATGCCGGCGCAGCCATAAGAAGGTTGGCCAAAGCAGAAAGCTCAAAGAAAGCAACAAAGAATAAAGATGGAGGGCTGTTTGATTCTTGGTGGATACAATCTTCTTGTTTCGGCTTTCATTTATCTATACATAATTCGATATATTTTCGCTGTTATTTTTTATTTTTATTTTAGCAGCCACTATACCATAGCATTAAAGGTTGCTAAGGGCTATGTTCAAGCTTTATATGTTGTATTCAACAGCAAGGAAATAAAGTTACTACACACGCAATTCATCATTAAATTGCCTCCTCAAGTGTTGGTGGTCATTTTGATGGTTATTTACTGTAAGTTTCTATGCTAAGTGATAGGGCATATTTTGGCCCTAGATGAATCACTAGTAACGTCACATGCCGTTAGCCACGAATCCGACGTCACACGTCGTCAGAATCACGAGGTGCACGCCACGTCAGGTTCGGTACCGATACACTGTGCGACTTGACCACCCCGAGAGCTTGGGGCGGTGCCGTCTGACATCGCTCAGGCACCCCCAAAGACACCATCTCGTCAGAAAAGTCATTCCGCCCTTGCGAAAGTTAGCGGCTACGCTAAACCGAGGTGCAACTAACCCTCGCATGCAAGTATGAAAACCCCTATCCGATGCCCGACTAGGGGGGAGAAAAAAACGAGGGCGGACCGTACTGACTTGCTCGTCGAAGGGGCCAAAGTTGGGAAGCACCCGACGAAGGCCATTTTGCAGGGAGGTGGGCACCCCCGAGCGACGGGCGTCTTCACCCTGGAGTCATCATCCGATACGTAGAGGAGGGTGGTCCGTCGACCCAAATCCCAACCAATGCCAGCTTGCACCCCTCTTCCCAAGGGCGCGCCCACGCTGGAAAGAAAATGTTAGAGCTAGCCCCAGGAAATTTACCAAAGGGTAATTTTGACAACCCAATAAAGACAATAAAACGGAAAAGATAAAAGCGACAAGAACACCAGATTTACGTGGTTTGGCCAATTGACCTACATCCACGGACGAAGGAGGAGCAAATCACTACTATAAAAAAGGGACTATTACAAATACCTTAGGAAGATGTTCCTAGGCCATAAAACACTGAAAATTACTGAACAAGAAAAGCCTAAAACAAACAATTAGGTTTTCTTATGGTACATTTGACTTCAAAGCTCAGGCCCTTATTTATAGTTCCAATAGGAGATAACAAGCCTGATTTTCCCGATGTGAGACTATGGGACTTGCCAAACTAACAAATCTCCACCTTGGCATGTCCCAACAAAACTTGCTCCACCTTCTTCACAAAAGCCCCAATGGGCAATCACTAATAATGGACACCAACCAAGTCCAAGTACTGCTTAAACTTGTAAATCGGAAGAGGCTTCGTAAGCATATCAGTTGGATTGTCCTTCGTACGAATTTTCTGAACAAGAACCTTTCCCTCAGCAATAGTATCCCATTTGCATCCAATAATTTTCTTACCCGAAGGCGGCTTCACAAGATCCCAAGTTCTATTCCGATGGAGAGACTCAATTTCTTCATCCATCACAATCAACCACTTAGCGAAATTATCACAAGAAACTGCATTTGAGTAGGAAGTAGGCTCACTAACTTCACTTGTCTCTTCTACAACAGACAAAGCATATGCAACCAAATTTGCATATCTTTGTGGTGGTCGAATATTTCTCCGTGGTCTATCCTTGGCTATGAAATATTGCTCTTCCTCTGGATCAACTTCGTTAGTAGACTCAGGACCATCTACTGGTATTCTTTGAGAAGAAGAGTTAGATTGAAAAGAATTAGAACTATCAATCTCAAGCTCCATCTGCTTCTACGCACCATCATTTGTACAACTAGTAGATTCTTCTTTAGAAGATAATATAGACAATTCATCAAAAGTAACATCTCTACTTATTACAAATTTTGGAGATTTGGGATCAGAACACCATAATTTGTATCCTTTCACCCCAAAAGCATACTCAAGGAAAATGCATTTTTTAGCTCGAGACTCTAATTTTCCTTCATTTATATGTATGTATGCTGGACACCGAAAAAATTTTAAATCAGAGTAATCAGCAGGAGTACCTGACCAAACTTTATCCGGAGTTTTAAAGTTAAGTGCTGCAGAAGGAGCGCGGTTGACAACGTAACAGGCCATATTAATCGCCTCTGCCCAAAAGTCTTTTGTCAACCCTACATTTGAGATCATATACCTTGCTCTCTCCAAGAGTGTTCTGTTCATACGTTCGACCACACCATTTTGTTGAGGCATCATCCTAATAGTGCGATGCCGAACGATTCCTTTATTTTTGCAGAATTCATTAAAGTCACCTTCACAAAATTCCATGCCATTATCTGTTCGAAGCCGCCTTAATCTGTTTACCT